TCCATGGACCAGCCAAAAGAAGCCACTTGCAGCTGATTTTTGCAAGTAACAGGCAGAACAAGAAAAGCACTCAATAAAATACCATTTTACTTAGTAATTGCTGAGATTCCAAGAGTTGGGGCTTTAATTTAGTATCCACATGTTTTTACACAATCTTTTTTCAAAGAAATTCCTTTGGATAACCTGATTTGGGGGGGTGGGAGTAATGGAGTGCAATGGAGGCATAGAATTATTTCCTCCTTTTCATTTTGAAAAGTCTCTACAATTTTTCTTTGCATCCATTTGACTACAATACACTTATAAATTCATTTGTAACCCAAGTAACAATCAAAACTAGGACAGTAATTACTATTCTATGATAACATTGAGATTTTAGCTTCTCCATATGAGGGAAAACATGCAGTATCTGTCTTTCTGTATCTGGCTTACTTCACTCAACATGATGCCCTAATTAGTACTCTGGGAAGAATAGGGGAGATAGAGGGAGTTTGGGTAATAGGTAGCAAATCGGATTTAGATTGAAGGAATAAATTCCTAGGGTTACACAACATACTGGAGTCGCAATAGTTCACAGTAACCTAGCCTATATTTTATGCACAAATAGAAGAAATTCTAAGACTCTAATCATAAGATAACATCAAAGAGGGGAAATGTTGGTTACTGTGATTTGATTAGCACATATTGTATGCAAGTCATACTCTAGCCCATACATACACATAATTACTGTTAATTATTTTTTAACTTTCATTTAGTAAATATAAATTTCCAAAGTACAGTTTAGGGATTACAATGGCTTCCCCCCCCATAACTTCCCTCCCACCCTCAACCCTCCCAACTCCCACTCCCTCTCCCATTCCATTCACATCGATTCATTTTCTATTCTCTTTATATACAGAAGATCAATTTAGCATATATCAAGTAAAGATTTCATCAGTTTGTACCCACACAGAAACACAAAGTGAAAAATACTGTTTGAGTCCTAGTTATAGCATTAATTCACATTGAACAACACATTAAGGACAGAGATCCTACATGAGGAGTAAGTGCACAGTGACTCCTGTTGTTGACTTAACAAATTGACACTCTTGTTTATGGCCTCAGTAATCTCCCTAGGCTCTTGTCATGAGTTGCCAAGGCTATGGAAGCCTTTTGAGTTTGTGGACATCGATCTTATTTAGACAAGGTCATAGTCCAAGTGGAAGTTCTCTCTTCCCTCCAGAGAAAGGTACCTCCTTCTTTGATGGCCCTTTCTTTCTACTGGGATCTCACTTGAAGAGCTCTTTCATTTAGGTCCTCTTTTTTTGCCAGAGTGTCTTGGCTTTCCATGCCTAAAATACTCTCATGGGCTCTTCAGCCAGATCCGAATGCCTCAAGGGCCGATTCTGAGGCCAGAGCGCTGCTTAGGACATCTGCCATTCTATGGGTCTGCTGTGTATCCCGCTTCCCATATTGGATCATTCTCTCCCTTTTTTATTCTATCAATTTGTATTAGCACACACTATTCTTGTTTATGTGATCCCTTTGACTCTTAGTCCTATCATTATGATCAATTGTGAACTGAAATTGATCACTTGGACTAGTGAGATGGCATTGGTACATGCTACCTTGATGGGATTGAATTGGACTGTTAATTATTTTTAAAGAAAATAATGTGACAATCAGATTGTGACCAGAACTGTGACAACTGGAGCAAACAAAATGATCACTCTATAGTATATGGAAGAACAGGATAAATGATATAATGAGGCAGCAATCAGAAAAATTCCAATGGTAAATATCTTGCAGAAAAATTGGTCTGGTCTTATCAATAAACCATGGTTTTCAATAAGATAAAAAGAGGGGCTAGCTCTGTGGCATAGTGGGTAAAGCCACCATCTGCAGCACTGGCATCCCATAGGGGCTCTGGTTGAAGTCCGAGTCTGCTCCACTTTCTATCCAGCTCCCTGCTGATGTACTTGAGAAAGCAGCTGAAGATGGCCAGGTACATGGGCCCCCTGCAACCATGTAGGAGACCAGGAAGAAGCTCCTAGCTCCTGGCTTCAGATACACCCAGCTCCATCCATTGCAGCCATTGCAGCCATTTGTGGAGTGAACCAGCAGATTGAAGATCTTTCTCTTTCTTTCTCTCTCTCTCTCCCTCTCTCTCTCCATAATCCTGCCTTTCAAATAAATAAATCTTAAAAAGATAGAAAAGCATAATAACCAGATGAAATGCTTGGCACTAAATTGTATCATCATTTAGATAAATCTACGTATTCTTAAATCATTAGAGGCAACTTTGGTTATGGGATGAATGAATGAATTATTAGTTATGAATAATATTAATAAATATTAATTTTTGAGAAGGATTTTTTCCACAGATAGCTCAGATACAAAATGAAAAGGTTTTTAATTTCGTTTTTAATTTTCTTCCTTTAAAGAGTGACAGAGAAATGGAGGGAGAGACAGAAAAAGAAATCTTCCATCCGCTGGTTCATTCCCCGAATGGCCACAATGACCCAGCATGCTACAGGTTGACATCAGGAGCCTAGAACTCCGTCCAGGTTTCTGACATAGGTGTCATGGGCTCAGGTACTTATCCATCTTCACGTGCCTTCCATAGTTCATTAGCAGAGAGGTGGATTAGAAGCAGAGCATCTGGGGCTTTAACCAGCACTCCAACAGGGGATGCAGGTGTGGCAGGCAGTGGCTTAACCCTCTGCACACAACGCCCCAGCTTTTTAATTCTTTTGGAATATAAATAAGTTTAGATTATCCAATCACACGGAATGCTTAGAATTTTTCCCAGTAAGCAAGACTATATACTAAGGGAGAATTGGTGAGGTGAGAGGGGACAGACTACCTCCTTCCCTTAGAAAACTGAACCCCTATTTCATTTGGCAATGGTCTCAATTGAAAACATAATTATTTCAAACGCCCCTAGGGTGGAGCATGGGAATGTTTCATAATTGGGAGCCGTAAGATGTTAAAGACTCTAGAGGTGCCGTCTGTGAAAGCTCTTGGAGAGAGTTGATTCAGCTGGTGCATACTTTATGCCTTTCACTTCTCTTATTTTCCTACTCAAAATGCAGTCAGAAAGCTGGATATGATACAGCCATCTTGAGACCACAAAAGAGTAAAGATTAAAGACACAGGCTAAAAAGAATTGAGAGGAAGAAAAATGAGCTTAAGACCCTGAGCACTGTGGGTCTTCCTGACCAGCTCTGAAGTCTACCTCTGGATTTAATGTCACTTGAAACACACAAAACTCTTTAATGAATATTGGAATGCCTCTAAGAACAGCCAAACCTGTACCAAGTTAATCCAATTAGGGGAAACCTAAAAACCATTTCTAAATATTTAAAATTTTTTTTAAGTTTTCAAATATTTCAAAACTATTTATCTTGGCAATTATTAAAAGTATATATTAATATATCATTTTGATACAAATCTTAGAATGAATCCTCCAAAGAACTCTGCCAGGCCATAGCATATGCAGTTCCCACACATGAACACATTATGAATACTTTTTATTCCTCCATATAGTCTCCCAAATATTTACTTAGGGCACAGGAAATATTGTACTACAGGCAGGGATACAAGGGTTAAAATTACAATGCTTGACTGGAAATGGCTCTGTTTACTTGATAGGAATACACAGAATCTTTTATAAAGCATTCTATTTTCCATGTATTTGCATCCTATGTGTTGTTTATCTCACATATCTTAGCTCTCCAAGAGATGAGGAAGCCTAGTACCACAATCTACATCAACAAAATAAAAGAATTTGAACCACCAGCATGGTCTGCACAGCTTAATTTTTAGGATATAGAATCATGATTGAAAGATTTAATTAAATGTTGCACCAATATGTTCATTACAGTTGTAAGAAATAATTGCAGAAAATCTCTCATTCCACACAACACAGGACTTGTTTTTCCAAAATCAAACCATAGCTGAAAGCAGATACTTACTGCTACTCCACTTTGTTTTCTATCATTTCCATGAGGGGAAAAAAAGCACTATATAGCAAACATTTACTGTAGTATCATAGCACAGTTGTCCACGGCAGTATAGTAGCAGAACACCAGGTGAGTATCAGGAAGACATTTCTACTCCCTTCTTCCAACATTTCAGCTAAGGTAGGTCATTTAACTTCTTTCTATCTCAGTTTCCTTACAAGTTAAAGTCTGGGGTAGAATTAGATCATTGTGTTCTTTGATACCTAAATTCTCTTATTTCCTTACTCTATTCTCAGGATACTGCATTAGCTGATATGCTTTCCAACTAAGAACAGAACATTAAGATTATTTTAAATGATGCATGGTTTCTCTATTTCTGTTGCCTCAGGAATTATACATCTTAGCCCACATCCCATATAAAACCACAATTTTATATATAATTAAACAACAATGTCATCTTATATTAATAACACAATATCACTGTACTCACAATCATAGAGGACTGCAGTTGTTATTCCTGGCTTTTAAGGGTGTAACTTGTATTGCACAGTTAAGATAATTGAATGAAAATTAGATGGAGAGTGCATTGTTTTTAATTTGCTGTTCAAAGTATCCCCCAGATGTCCAGAAGTGACTCCAGCAAAGCTTATCTCTAAAGCATAGTGATTCCCTTGCTCTATTATGAGAAACTTTCTTTAGTGCCTAAAAATTGATTCATTATATGCAAAATCTGGTGTTAAAACCTGACCTTGTTTTAGAGTATAGACAACAGAAGTAATCGATTAACACACCTGACATTCATCTTCAAACCACTGGATAGTTACCCCTTTTCTTATTTCTTGCATGATAATTTCAGAAGTTGAAACACATGAAGCACAACCAGTTTAACTCATCATATTCTAAATTTTATATACAAGAGTAAAAATCCTATCATATTGCTTGAAGCAGAATATTTAAGGAACATGATTTCACAAATTCTTTAGTTATCATCCTATGAAACAACTCTCAGCCCCAACTATTATTATCACGTTACGGATTCACATTTCCCCCCCTACTTACCACGATGAGTTAAAGGTAGACAAAAGCTCTCCGTATCAGCCTTTGAGCTTTACCAGCCACTTCATTTTAGATGTCACGGTACAGGACTTTGCAGACAGCAGTTCATTCTAGGGTTTACTGCAAACACTGAAAGAGACGCCTCACACTTGCAAGATTCAGCTTTTGTGCTCTTGGTCATTCTTCTCACAACGAAAAAAAGAAAAAAAAAACATGAGCCCAGTTTCTGAGCCTTTCTTAACGCTCCTTCCAAAATATTTCAAAAGAGGAAGACAAGAAAGACTTCAGGATCTCCATGCAAACTCCCAGCCTGCCCGCCTGCCTGCTGCTGCCAACACGTCTTACTCTCGCTGGTGATGACATTCAGCAAGCTCCCAGCACTGATGCTTCCTTATGTAACGCTCTCTAGGTCAAGTGTAGGAGACGCACTGCTGGCCTGTGGGAACTCATGGGACTGTTTCTTCTGATTAACACTTCAGGGGCTATGGAGGCTGAAGGAAGCTGAGCTTTCACTACATCTTTCGGGGGTAAATATTTTTAAAAGATTCAGTTGTTTCGATACTGTAGTCTTGACAGATTCCTGTCAGCCATGCTGAGAAGTACAGGGAGAAATTTCTGAGAGATTCCAGTTATTTCAGCAGGCTTGAAAAAGCACTATAAGTCGTCTAATAATCCTAGCTTTAGCATACTTGGAGTAAATAAACGATAACTTGGAATTTGCTGAGTAAGCATCATCTCTAACCATCAAGGAATGAATGTTGATTTGATGTTTAGACTCTGAGTGCAATTCTTTGGTTAAGAGGTGTTGCAGGAGAGCATTATGAGTTGTGGCTTGTAATTTAAATATTTACTACCTTTCTTGGTTTTTATGCTACTCTTGTCTCTGATTATAAATTGGCTTCTCATGTAAATAAGATGTGTGTGTGTGTCTGTGTGTGTCTGTGTGTGTGTCTGTGTGTCTGCCTGGGTTTTCTCCTGTTGTGATTGTTTTCTTAAGGTAGTAATGGAGCCTGTATGACCCAGCAGCTGCAAGACTTCAACAAACAATAAACCCTGCCTAGTTATTTGCCAGGTGAATACTGCAGTAAAAGCGCCATTTGATACTTGTGCTGCACGATGCTGGGTTAACGCATTGGCTCAACCTGTGCTGCATTTAGGAGGCTTGGAGGGATGACCCTAGGTTTGACAGGAACAATTATTCACTCTATGAGTAACAGGAGAAACATTATACCACTAATTCTGTTTCAGACTCTTACACCGTGTCCTGCTCCAGGAATTAGTTAAAATAGCAGGTTCTTATCAAATGCTGCAGAAAAGCCTGATGTAGTTGTACGTAAGATTGCGGCAGCAGTGTGATATAGGCAAGGAATTGCCATTAGCTTTAACCAGAGATGATGGCACAATAGAAATAGAAACCTAATTTACAAGATTGATGGATATTTTTAAGTTGAAGATAAATGCAGCTTTTTCTGCACACCCTTGGCAAGTGAAATTCATTGCCTTGCACAGGAGGTCATGAATTATGAGGAAAAAGGCTATGTAGATTTCCTCATGATCTCAAAGAGCTAAATGGAAAGTTGACATTCTGTTGTTTGTTTGAGTCTCTTAACAAGCATTGGCAAGTGGCAGGATAGTTAAAGTGCACTTTCCAGGGAAACAGTTTTAAAGCATCTGAAATTTCTTACATTCTTTTTATTAAGTTAAATAAATGAAAATGAGTGTTACTGAAATGAATTTCCTTGGGGTACGTTTTACTATATTAACTGTGATTAAAAGTAGCACATTGATTGTTTATGATGAGAACACACTGCTTATAATTTTATGCTATATTTAAGTGATTAAGCATGTACATGCTTTTCCAAATAATTTGAAGAGACAGTTATAGTCCCTCAGGGCCTAGTTTTATATTACTGATGTCAATAGACATTTTTCCCATAGTTACACAGAGGTTTAAGAGCCCTATCAGACCAGGTTCTACTTAGTTTGGCATTTGGACTGTTTCTCATAACTGTAATGCTGAAAATATACTTGAATGCATTTACAATCTTCGGGTTTATGTATATTTGTGATAACATTGACATTACTCAGTTATTTACAAATGATTTTAAAACTTTTTTATTGGCTGTTTGTTACAAACTAATACTTCTTTCTGGTAGTTAACCTAAAATATGAAGTTCTTTACTTTTAAAGTGAGAAATTTAGATTAAATGAAATTTAAATAAGTTTTTATTCTTCCATCTTTATGAGTATATTCCTCTATGTGTGGATTAAAATTATTTACTACTCTATGATAAAGTGAGGTTACAGTTTCAATGAGGTTGACTCTTTTAAACACATGTGACATTAGGGTTACATTTACTAAGTACCTACCAGTTGTTAGGCCAGTCGTTCACAATGCATAATCTCCCAGCATTACCTGGGAACTTGTTTATTTTCAATACTCACTTTAGATTTATTGAGTCAAAACCTCCAGGGGAGTTTTGTTGATTGATGTTTTTACAAGCCCTCCAGATAGACTGTAAGGCATACTGAAGTATGAGAAACACTATGCTGGGCAGTCATTTCATTAAACATCATAAAGATAATTTTACTATGTAAAATTGAATACATATTATGTAATTAAATTCTCTATGTTCTTCATTGCCTAGATATCCAAGTGTAACCAACAATATATTTTAAAGTTTTTTGAGATAAGTCTGAACATCTTAAGTCTAAATATAATCATAAAAACTATTTTCTGGGGCCGGTGTTGTGGCATAGTGGTAAAGCTACTGCCTGTGATGCCAGCATCCCACAGAGCTCCGGTTTGTACCCTAGTTGCTTCACTTCTGATCTAGCTCCCTGCTAATGGCCTGGGGAAAACAGTGGAAGATGGTACAAGTGCTTAGGCTCCTGTCCCCCTATATGGGATACCCAGATGAAGCTCCTGGCTCCTGTAGCCATTTGGGGAGTGAACCAGCAGATGGTGGACTGCCCTCTGTCTCTCCCTGTCTCTCTCTGTAACTCTAACTTTCAAATAAATAATCTTTATTAAAAAAACTCTTATCCAACAGTTCCACTTGAGAACTATAGCTCTTAGAAGTTAAATCAGGTAATAGAAAAAACACTAGGCCGGCGCCGCGGCTCACTAGGCTAATCCTCCGCCTTGTGGCGCCGGCACACCGGGTTCCAGTCCCGGTCGGGGCGCCGGATTCTGTCTCGGTTGCCCCTCTTCCAGGCCAGCTCTCTGCTGTGGCCCAGGAGTGCAGTGGAGGATGGCCCAAGTACTTGGGCCCCGCACCCCATGGGAGACCAGGAGAAGCACCTGCACCTGGCTCCTGCCATTGGATCAGCGCGGTGCGCTGGCCGCAGCGGCCATTGGAGGGTGAACCAAGAGCAAAAGGAAGACCTTTCTCTCTGTCTCTCTCTCTCACTGTCCACTCTGCCTATCAAAAAAAAAAAAAATGAAAAAAAAAAGAAAAGAAAAAAGAAAAAACACTAGAGAATTTGTCTCTTCTATTTGTTCACTCTGTGACTTGGCACATATCACTAACCCTGTTTGATTTTCCATTTCTCATTTGCAAAATGATAGATTGGTTTAAAACAGAGCTTCTCAACTCAGCACATCGACATTTTAACTGAGATATTCTTTCCTGTGGGATCTGTCCTCTGTATAGCAAAATGGTCAGGAGCATCCCTGGTCTCTACTTAAGAGGTGCCAGCAGCAGTCTCCACTAGTGACAATCAGAATGTTTCCAGGCATTAATGCATGTCTTCTGAAAGCAGAATTTCTCCCTCCTCATTTGGGAAGCACTGGCCTAAATTAACTCCCCAATGAAAAGCTCTATTATACTAAATAATACAATAAATGTATTGCTTCTCCTTTTGGAAAGGTTAAAATTTATAAGCAAATAAATAAATATATTTCTTACTTGAATACCCAGGTGTAAGCTGCAACATTTTGTCCTCTTGAATATCTGGGTGTAATTTCTTCAAATACTTACCAACTCCATACTCTGGAGTCCAAATGCCTTCTCTACAATTTCTCAGGGAGTTAGAATCTTACAGCACTTATGCCCTAAAGCCCTGGTTCCACAGATACCATCTCACCATTCAATCAAGTGACCCTAATTCCCTCTTTCACTGGTTTCTACTAGAGACTTCTCTAGACCCATCACCTTTCAGTTTGAATAGATGTCATCAAAATATGGACATTTCCCCCCACTCTTCCTCCTTCTCCCACTTCTACTCCTCACTTCCTCCCTGCATGATCTAGCACCCTAAATTCTCTTCCCCAAGTGAACAGTAATCTACTTTCTATAGCTACTGTATCCAGGTGGTATGCTCGAAATCATCTACAAGTTTCAAAGATTATATACATTCAATTTAGGATCACCCAATCTTCACAGAAGGCAATTGGGGTCCTAATGTACACATAAAGTGATAAAATTTCAGGCTGAGAATAAGTAGTTAAGTTCGTTTTCTTATCTTTAGAAGTATTGGTAGATGGCAGTTGTTGGCCTTTAAAATCACACATTACATGTTAGGGTCCCAAAATTTTAAATGATACCTCCCCATAAAATGTTTATGCATTTCAGCAACAGTGTTCAGAAATTTTCTAAGGCTTATATTTGTTGTAGAAGTTCACAAGCTTCACACACACACACACACATTGTCACTCCCCCACTTTGTGGAGGAACAACACAGGACCCTGTGCTGTTCTTTTGTCTGCTCGGCCCTTCCCGGGTTTGCTGCTGGTTCTTCCCGGGTTGGCTACTGATCCTTCCACCTCCGTGGAAGGGCGGCTCCCCCTGCCACTTTCCCCACTTCCGCAGGGGAGCGGCACACCGCCGGCCGGCTCTCTCAGGGGCTGCTCAGATGTTATTCGGATGTTTCCCTTAGATGTTCCTGGTGCATGTTGTCTCTCTCCTCCTTTATAGTCCTCTTCCACCAATCCCAACTCTGCTACCCACACACCGAGTACACTGCTCTCCTCCAATCAGGAGCAGGATCAGCTCCTGCAGTTTGTCAAGTTGGTGAGAGGCAGCTGCGTAGAAGTTTACTCCTCCCCAGTGCCATATTGTGGGAGAGCAGATGCATAGAATAAGTCTTAATTCCAGTAACTTAGCCCAGTCTCAGTTGCTCCCCACAACACATATTTTTCCCAA